GAGCAAGGTGCATACGAAGGGGTGAAGTTGCGGACGATCCTCCTCCAACCCACATCATGTTTTGTGAGCTGAGGTTGTGTTTGAGAATTTGTATTAGGGCAGCTCATTATGCTGATGAATATCCTCCTGTCAATTTTCGAACAAGTTGAGGATCATGGATCGAAGTAAGGATGGTCGCCACTGCTGTGAGGGACTAAAACTCGACCCACCGAAGAATGCTGTACATATACCCCACGACAGAGATTTCAGAGGCTTCGAAGGCTAATGCTCAACATTCTGTTTATTGTGGTCACTGAAATGAGCTCTATATAGCTCCATTTACACTATTGTCTTCATCGACTTGCTGACTGAGTCATCATCGGTTAGCCGGTACACTGAAAAGTCAATTCGGCCGACAAATCCATTCTATTATGTCAAGCCAGACCTATTTTTATCACGCAATCAGTCCAATCGATGTCAGGTTTACTTGCACCATATCAAATACAGAGACAGCGAAAGAGATTAGAGATATTGCGTGCATAGGTTCAGTTGGTCCGTCAATCATTCAAATATATATACCTAGCTGCCCTCGGGCACACGGGAGGTAATTAGCTAAGTACCTATAGTCCCTTAAGTCTAAGGATTTCATAGGGTTCCTTACAACCATAAGAGTTCTACACCCCTAAGCTGTCTATTTCAGGGCTCCCTGAACCATAGGGGCCCTGGATTACTGAAATACTCTATGACCTCCTAGGCCCTCCCCTACCTCCTTTCTCTGTCTATTTGACTCTCTTTGCTTTCTCTCAACTCTCACCTTGCTTTCTCTTTGCTCACTTACGTAGCTCTTACTTCCTCCCTAGTTTGCCTGCCATGCCTCCTGCAAACAGCAACACAGAGTATTCCCCTTTCGCCAGAATCCATTGGGCTATTCCGTTGCTCTCGCTAGAATGATAAGTGATCATGTCAAGAAGTAGCTTTTATCACTCAAGTCTAGTTGAATTCTATGTACCTGTATGTACGACTATAAACTCGTCTTCCCCCTCGACTCATATCCAATCAGCAAAACCACCAGGCCAGCAACAATAAACAACCCCCCGCTCACATACACCGGCACACTGGTCTTCAGATCCGCGACGAGCGCGATCACCGGCGCAAGAATCCCGCCCACCCGATTCGCCGCCGCGGTCAACGCATTCCCCGTTCCCCGGTCCTTGGTCAGGAACATCTCGGGCGTATACGCATAGAGAACGGCATAGAGAATACTGCTCGTGAAGCTATACGCGCAGTTCCAACCCAGTAGGGCCGACGACGACATGGCCGTTGTAGAGGCTAGCAGAAACGCACCCGTCAGCACGGCAGATGAGCTGATGGCGCCCCGCCGGCCGAGGTAGGGTATCTCGACTAGCACACCGCCGATCAGAGAACCGGGTAGGCCTGCCGCGGCGATGATTAGCGAGTTCCGGTAGGTCAGAGCCGTCGAGCCATCGCCAAATTCGGCGCCCTTGGTCTGCTGGATGTAGGGCAGGAAGGCGTTGTAGAGGGGAAATCCAAGGCCGATAAGGCCCCAAACAACGATGAGGAGCGAGGTGGACCAAGCGCGGCGCGGCGTATCGAAGAGGGCTTTGATGTGACCGAGGGTCAAATGATCCAGCCGTTGGCGGATAAGAACGTTTGTCCCGGCAGTAGTGGTCTGGTTTGCGGTGGTTGCAGGGGTGATGAGGTCGTCCACGGACAAGGAGGCAGAGGAGCCATTCCGGCGGGCGACTTCGTGGACGACGGCCACGGCATCTTCGTAGCGGCCTTTGCCCATCAGAAACTTGGGCGATTCATACAAGGTGAAACAGGTCCAGCGGAGAAGACACATGACCAGGGCTATCCCGCCCATAGCGATAAGGAAGTACCGCCAGCCCATGTTGTTGGCTCGGGTGCAGGTCTCCTCATCGGGGCAGGTGAGATTGCCTAGAATCGGCCAGGCGATGAGATTGGCCAGCAGCTGGGCGAGCGCCCAGTACACAGACAACACGGTGAGGAGATACTGGTGCGAGCCCGGGAGGAACTCGAGAAAGATGGCCGAGTCGACGGGGAGGTTCCCGCCCACGCCAATAGACCACAGCGCGGTGAAGACGCATACCGCTGCGAAGGTGGGCGACGCGGCTGCCACGAGCCCGAATACTGCTGTCAGACCGATCGTAAGATTGAAGGCCCAGCGGCGGCCGAAGATGTCACAGCCGAAGCCCCAGAACAGGGCGCCTATTAGCAGGCCGATGTTCTGGGCTAGAGTCAGGAATGGCGGACTGGATATGTGGAATTCCGATGTAACAGGGCCCAGGATGAGCGAGGTTACGATCGGCCAGAGATTGTCACTTGCCCAGCCGAAGCCGATGACGATAAAGAGTTGCCATTGATAGGCACCCATGCCAATACTCTGGATGGCAGTGTTGAGTGTCGCGGCGTTGAGCCGGTAATCTGTGAGTTTGTCTTGATCGTCTGCCATTTTGATTCACGAGGTGGATTTGATGAATTTACTGGATCAAATATGATGGCGAAGAAGAAGAAAATGAGGATGACTGATGGTCATTTTCTGCAGGATGAGTGAAGATTCAGCCCCGCGTCAAATACGGATGACGTGATTGGAGCCTTGTCTGAGATCAACAAAATGCTGCATTTAGAAGATACACTTTCTCTAGTGTACTTCTATTGACATTTTCATGTCAAATAATCCAAGGAAGGAAAAGAGGGGAGAGAGAGGAGCGACGAGTGAAAGAAAGAAGTGAGATCAAACTTGAAGTTATCCACAATCCCAAAGAAGAAACTGAACACAAACACACCTAGAAAGATGAGCACAACACATCACCAGACAACAGCAATCAATCAACCATAAAGTGACGGCAATAGCACTCTTACTCTGCCTCATGCAAATGGAATGTGCATTTCAACAAATTGTCTTCTTAACCGCAGGGCCGCTCATTGTGTGTTTTGGAGCAATCCTCCAGGGATGCTGGTCAGCAGCAGCAGTTGAGTTGGCTATTCTGTGCAGCAGTGATGGTGATGTTAGAGAAAGAAGTCCAAGTCTCTGGAATTACTTCAGCTTTATATACACGCCAGTGGCTCGAATTGCAGTTCAACTGAAACACAGACAAAGATGCCTTCAGACGCAAGACATCGAACCATAAATTACCGTCTCTCCCACTCCATCTCCACATCCTTAACCCTCCTCCACGCTTCCTCTACTTCATCAGGAATATCAACATGCACAATAAACCCTTTCCCTCTGGGCCCATATCCCTCTTTGTCATCTCTAAGTCGTGGAATCTCTCCCATCAGCAATCCCAGAAACCGCGGTAACCTCCACAACCGCGACGCCTCAATCCCAACCGACTCATCATACACCAGCTTCCCTCCTTCAAGCCTAACCTTGGGTACAAACGTCGGCCAACTGGTCAACCGCAGTGTCCCCACGCCAGAAAAAGCCTTCTCAAATGACGCCACCGTCCGCCGAGACATGGTCGGATCCTGCACAATCAGCATACTCCGGGGATGAATGCCATTCTCCTCAAGAACCCTCTTCGTTTCAATTGCATTAGCGCCGCAGTTCGTCGAGCGGTCTTCTATCAGAACACGGCATGTGTTCTGGATCCGCGGTGCATCAAAAAACCGCTTGAAAATGCGATGGAGAACCTGTGCTTCTGGCAGTCCGTCAATCTCCGGGAGGAGATGCGCGTAGCGTGGGTCGTTGGCAATCACTTCGTAGAGATGAGGCGTGGAATGGCCGACTCCGCCGCAGAGAACCAAAGTATTGATTGCTGTTGGGTTGTTTTCTAGATACGTGAAGACTTTCTCTGCTATTGGCAGGATGGCGGAGACGCAGAGGACGAGGACGTCTGATGGTGGTGGAGAGGAAGTTGAGGGGATTTGGTTGAAGGCGAGGAAGTGAGCTAGAATGTTGATGTCGTTAGGATCCATGGATGGCATTATGACCTTTAGATTCTATGCTATATATAGATCAAGATATCTGAGAGATGCTGGTCTATGGTCAGAAATGAGTAGATGAAGTTGAATCAATTTAATCCACTTGTGGTTCTGGGGTGGTGAGGGTTGACTCCACTTGTTGGTTGAATTGCTCCGCCATGGCCCATAAGTCCTAGGGTCAGTTATCAGTATAGTCTGTACGAAGGACTGAGATAAAGAATATCAAACAATCTTAGTCTCAGAACAATGGGAGAGAGAAAGTTAATACTATAAGAATTATCACTTCGCTTATAGCTTCATGGATATATCAGAGTTCCACTCATATTAACAAATAATTCATTTTTAGGGTTCTATTCTGGATTTTCGAACAATGTTAGAAGAGTTTTCCTATCAGAAGCGATGATTTCCTGTCTTGAACCCAATATTGATATATTATCCCTAACGAGTATAGAATTGAGGCAACTACACAGGACCTATATCTAGTTAATGTCGAATGTCGGACAAGGACAAGAGGAACGCTGTACTTGCAACAAAGCAATTGCCTCGACCTCAAGCGTCCTTGATGAAGAGAACTGGAGTGATACCCACATAGCCTTTCTTTCTTTCAGGTCGCCTATTCAACCTTGCTTGCTGTTGTGGCGATTGTCCCATGTGACCCCGTCTAGACCTCACACAGGAGGCACAGTAGGGAGAAGCTCTTTACCTCATCTTTTCTTCCTCTCTCAAAGATCAACAATACATCCAAGAATGCCTTGTTTATTCCTGGGCTGTCAATTAGGCTATTTCAATAGAGGTTAAGCACCTTGATTTGACGGCAGTCTCCATATAATGAATCAACTTTCCAGGCAACTTCCGTCAACAAAGCCCATACTAGCGAAAATCTCCAGTAAAATGAAGCCTACAGTGAATTTCAAGGCAGTATTGAGCCTGAGGCAGTCTAACAGTTATGGGTATGTAATCTCACAGATTGGACACTTCACTCACTAACCATCCTTTATCTCTCTCCCCAGCTATCGTGCTCATAACCTCGATAGCACGTCCTCGACGCCAAAATGGCGGTCGAAATCCTGGATTTCCCCGTCGAGATACTCGAAATGATCTTCTTCGAAGCCATCCATCCGTGGGAAGACGGCATCGACAAGATTATGGACTATGAGACAGGCCTCTGTATTGCTCTCACGTGCAAGAGATTCAACCTCGTTGTTCGACATGTGTTGTACCGGCGAATCGAGCTGGGCACGCCAGATCTCGATCCTATCAGCAAACCGGCTGAAGGACTGTTGCAGGCTCTGTCCTGGTACCCTGACTTGCAACCCACGTGCCAGTCCTTTCAAATTTACCTCGGACAAGAAGCCTTCCAGCAAAAGACATTCAAAACAATCGGCAAGCTGGTGTCTTTGCTTCATCGCGTGCGCGTCTTCGAAGTTGCTGGGAGCAACGATCATCCATTGACGTGGCTGCTACTCCTGAAAGCCATACAAATGAAGACTGTGGAGGAGATTCGAGCTGATGGCTGCTTTGCACCTGGTCGAGAGGCATTCAAGATCCGAAGGCGAGATGTCTGGGCCATGAGAATGGCTGCTCTTGGGGACAATATTCCTGGAACTGTTGCGGATTTTCTCGACACTCAGGTGAGTTGAGGCCAGTTGTTAGTTCCCATGAACTTGAATTACCCTATACACGTGCATCTCTACAACTTTAATAGAGCTGACAGTGCTAAGAATGAAAATGGAACACTCCCTGTTATCAAGACCGCGAAGTTCAACGGATTCAGCCAGACCCCACTACTACTGCAGGAGATCCTGACCTGGTTCAACGGACTCGAGCATTTTGCCTTTACACAGAATCGCCCGTATGCCTTGTACTACAGGTGGAACCACACCAACCTCGAAGCGGCTCTCAACCGTCACAAGGAGACGTTGAAGTCAATTCAGGTCCACCAGGGAATGCTCAGCTTGGCTGGCCTTTTAGACCTGACAAGCTACACAAATCTGAGGGTTCTCAATCTCTCATTCCGCAACATCTTAGTTGAATCGCCCGAGGACGCCGCGGCCAGACTCCTTGCACCGAATCTTGAGCTATTAGTGTTCGACTTCTGGACACTCGTCCGCGGGAAGGCCAAATACAACTGTATTGAGAAGCGCGACGAAGAGTGGTTAGTGCAATTCGGAGATCATGCGTCCAAAGTACGAAAGTCTCTTCCCAGGGTGCATGCCAAAATCCCCGCCTACGCGTTTCAAGGCACCGAGAAGGAGCTTTGGGACGCCCGCTGCACGTTTGAGGATCTCGACAATATCCAGGACGAGCTGCAGGGATATGGCGTTGACTTCACATACGACGACCCTCCTGTCTCAAAAGAAGAGTTTCGGGAATGGATACGAGACAAGGATGAGATGGACCTGCTTGGGGGACTTTGGAGATACATGAATCGCTACGCTGCATACCACTCAGACGAATCAGATTCGGGGTTTGAATCTGGCACACTGGATACCAAAGAACATGACGAAGTGCCCCAGGAATCTCCAGACAAATTGGATAATGAGGCTGATAACGAGGCCCAGACTTGACCACCTTGTCCATTAGTGTATCGAAATTTGACGAACTTGCTCTTTTTAAGCGTTATGTGTCATGGAATCCTTGGAGCATGTTGTCTTCATGATGAAGCCAGGCGCAAGGTGTGTAATTTGGCTGCTGGGAATGAATAAAGTCCATACTATGTGAATATAAAACATTTGTACCTGGTAGGCAAGACAGACATTTAGAATGACCTTGAAGCCAGGTTGGGTTGGCAATCAGTAAGTAAGAAGACCTTCTAGTAGAGAGCTTCTCTCCTTCATGGAGTTAGCTCCCAGAACAAAGGTAGGCCACTATTATAAGCAAGTAATTTACGAACTCAATCCCTACGGAATCGCGCTGCGACTGATTATTCTTCTTTTATATGGCCCATGGAAACTGCAGTTGTGACTGCCATTCACTGGGCTACATTCTGATGGGTCGATACACTTGCTTAGCAGTCATACCACCAGTTAAGCTTATTTCAGATTGACCTAAACTGGGGGATTATCTGTAGATCTGTCGTCGGAGTCATGTAGTGTTCCCAGAGCCTACCTGTATGGGACACTTAACATCATGACGGCAACGCTTGCTGAATCGCCCATTACTCAATCATCGTATAACAACCTTAACCAAGTTCCTCACCTTAGCATCTCCACTCAACGTCTCCTTCAGTTACAGTCTGACTTTGACAACGCCACTGAAAGGCTATGTTTGTTAGCTCAGGGTTAAGCTCGTCGCATACCATTATTGAATGAGCCCAGGGCGCGTGGCCTTGCTGAAACCTTACAGGATCGGCAATTCGATTTCCTGTCCGCCAGCTATCTCCTGATCACCCTGTAGCATCCGCCTTAAAACCTAGCTGCTTCTTAAAACTCCAGTAAGCGACCTGACTACGAACCCCGAAGGTTCGAAGGTCTGCAGAACTTAGTGCATTCAACAAACAATATGAACCAAATCGCATGATATAATCATGATACAGTCATGCAGTCATCTTCCTTTATCCCAGCATTTGATATCACTGCCTATCAAGAGGACTATTCACGGACAAACCCAGCCGTCTAACACTGAACTTTTCCGTAACGTCAAAAGGCCCACTCATATTATACAGATATCCTGCTCCTCTGCTCGCTTTAGCGCCAGATGAAATGCATGTATTTGTTCTCGTCGCCCTCTTCCTGTCGGCGCCTCCTGTCACGAAGACATATGCTAGCCATAAAGCGAACCTGTTCGCAAGGGAAGTCAGTCCTGACGGTTCCTGTGGTGGCACAACTGGGTATATTTGCCCCGACACGGAGCCTTGTTGCTCGAAATATGGCTATTGTGGCAACACAAATGAGTACTGTGGCATTGATTGCCAACCCGCCTTCGGTACCTGTCCGGCCACATCTACTGGTACAGTAAATATCCCTCGTCCGCACATAGGGCAAGTCCCCTATGGAGAGGTCATCGATTCTTGCGCCCATTCCGGCGATATTGCCTTAACGTTCGATGATGATCCCTACCTCTACACATCCGACCTGTTGGATCTCCTTGCACGTTACGGGGTGAAAGCCACCTTTTTCGTTGTGCGAAACAACGGCAACGGTGCTATTGATGAGGTTGCTGCATGGAAGTCCGCTATCCAGCGCATGGACCCTGAGGGCCACCAGGTTGGCTCCCATACCTGGAATCATCCAGACCTGACCACACTATCCTCTGCCCAGAGGAGAGACCAGATGTACCAAACCGAACAAAGCATTTGCCAACATTCTCGGAAAGGTGCCCACCTACATGCGACCGCCATACTTGAGCTTTGACACTGCCTGCGCTGTGGACATGTTTGACTTGGGCTACCATGTTATCTCCACAAATCTCGATACCAAGGACTTCGCAAATGATGATCCAGCACTGATACAAAACTCGAAGGACATATTTAACAATTACGTTACGCAGAACAGTCCTTCATCGACAAGCTTTGTTGTCCTAAACCACGATATCCATTACCAGACAGTTTATACTCTTGATGAGTATGAAATTCGACGCCTTCAAACCGCTGGGTATCGGCCAGTCACTGTTGGAGAGTGTCTAGGAGACCCAGAGGGTAATTGGTACAGATCTGCTTCTGGAGTGACCACCGCTGTCTTGACGGAGCCATTTGCTAGCCTTCCAGTCTCACCCCCGACCAACGTGTGCACATATGTTAGAAACTTGAGACACCTGCGATGGTGATGTAACCTACAAGGGTCTCTCACAACCGAAGCTCCCCAGCAATCAGAGTTAGTGTTATCATGGCAACCGTACCGCCTATATAATCTTGCACTGATGCTGGGAGCCTGGGACGCAGCATAGTGGATCTCAGAGCGGTTCCGCCGGGCCCCCAAAAGTGTAGTGACACTGCCTGCGCCTCATGATGCGTTTAAAAACATTGCTATACTGCCCTTTACTCCGTATATTATATACTTCGTCAAGCCGCCGGCACCGGAGCTGGCCCCTGGTTCTTCCGTCTGCTCGGTTGCGCCGCCGAACTACCCTGGTGAAGGGAAATGTCGATCTTACTGGTAGGGTCCCGCTTCAACGATGGAATTATTGTTAGTGAATCTCTTCCTGTATTATTTCATTGGTCTTAATCCTTTCAGAGACTTCCAATTTCCCCTGGTTTCCCGTGCCAAGATGGTATATAAGTTATCTTTGAATTAGTCCTATTTTTACGCCTCTCCCTAGCTCCCAATGACACTAATATGACTTATTTACTATGGAGGTTGTGATCCCGATAATTTGATTATATTTTACCATGGAACTGGTTGGACGTGATGGTAAGTGTATAGATTAATTTGAAGAATGAATTTTGTCCTATCAATTGAGGCCATCCATAGTAGTGACGATTGATTACGCGCGCGTCGCCTCATTGTATCCAAGTGGCATGATCGTCTGAAAACTTGCTTGTCAAATAATCCAATGCTGCAACACCTTTTCAAATCAAAACAATCCTATAACTCTGAACGCTGAATCCTTGGATTTTGCAACCTATGACAGATTTTATGTGAGCTATGCCATAAAAGGATTTTAGAGGTTGGGTCCACCTACATATTATTTGCAACGTACTGCCTAGGCAGGAACTTTGGATAATCAAGCGGAGCACACGCCACTTCTGACGTGCATGCATGAATATCATTTTTTCCATATGTATAGAACGCCGCCCTTTTTCTGTCCAAGTCATCGCCGGTAACATTGGCGACCAAGTATTGGATTGGGTATCCTATATAGGCTTCAACATCGCCTGGGAAGCTGGATAGCTTGGCCGCTTCGTTCGCGAAGAGACCAGTGGAGGTATGGTCACTATGGTCGCCCGAGCCATATGGGTTGATGAAGTCCAGAGAGTTGATTGAATCAGGTTGGAGCTGGTCAATCAACTGTCTCAAGGTTTCGATAAGGTCGTCACTTGTGTACCTAATATCAGATTCATCGTCCACTGTCCTTATTGAGGGGATGCTGTTTCTCCAAAGCTTCTCAAGGGTTTCGTGGCCAGTACTATCAAAGCCGTCGCCGCCCGAGTTCCCATCAGGCAAGTGCATGAATACTAGGGAGATATCGCGATCACGTAGAGTGTAGCGCAGGATATCCTTACCCCCGACGCTAAGGGCAACAGCATCCCAGGTATTTGGCATGCCCGCCATTGTGGCGTACGCTTCCATGATGCCCTCTTGTCGGCCAGTCCAGTACTCAGAATCCTGACCCGCGTCACCAGCGGTCAGGTATACAGTGTAAACCTGTCGGTCGGCGTCAATATCATGAAGGATATCTGGGTTCTGGAAGAGAAGATCATCATCCGGATGAGCGACAATGTTCAAGGTCATTATATCTAATCGCGTTCTGAACTAATCTCAGAGACGGGGAGACTTGTTTCAAATGTGTGTCTTGGCTTCCAAAAAAGGCGTCCGTAAGAGGACAAGATGCAAATTTATATTAGAGGGTGATCTGGAGTCATCATTTCAGAACCTAGTTGAATGGCCCAGTGTCCGCAAGCCGGCCAGTCGTTTCCCGTGGATCATTGCTTTCCAGCGCTTTCCTTGTGTAACATGAGAAATATGGATGGATGAGTTCCACCAGTTACTGGTGGCATGGCTTTGACGTCGTTTCCACCTGTAATATAAGCAGCGAAAAGCAGTTCATTAGCAATACCACTTCCATTGGGAGGCTAGACCACCACATGACAGTTAAAACCAAGACGACTTCGATGATCCAACCTAATGCGGCTTATGCTCGTAAACATTCGTCGGAGACCTGATCCGCAAACAGAAAGAGGTGGCAGTAACCTTTGGGTTAAGCACCACTAGGCAAACCTAAATGGCGCGGGTTTGAAGCTGGTGTAGCAGGTATCCAGAGGATAAATTTCTCTTTGCGGCGCTCAAGGAGATTGAACGCCATCTTGGAGTATTGTCGGTGGAAGGAAAACGGTAGATTGTGTCAGGTAACCCTGGAGGATTATCACATCAGTCAACATGGAAGAATGATCTGAACGAGGAGAAAAATGCTAATGAGATCTTGTATTAATTGGAAGACTGGCCAGTGGGACAAGGCTCCTGCGGGAAACCCGCAGCCACAAAGCACCCTAATCCATGGATACAGACTCCATGGGAAAAGACCTCCAGGATGATCTCCAAATGTCCTTTCATTCAAACCTAAGGCGGTAAACGTATTAATGTGCTAGTCAGCAGGGCAGAAGGGCGAGTTAACCTTGCTGGGTCCACTACCCTTTCGCCACATGATGCACGTCGATCACCCGAGGCGTTAACCAAATGCTAACTTCATGGTGGCGCCATTAATGATACCTTGAGGATCTCCGTGAGGTACCACAACCTTTTTATTACATGGATCGGTAGGTAATAACAGCGCGAGGATTACAACAGCTATATTACTTTAGTGCTATATTGACAGCTACAGGGTAAAAGTCCTGTTTCTCATCTTGCCATGGCGTGAATACAGCACCAAACACATTTGGTACTAACTAATGGTACTGAGCTATGACTGCCGTCCAGCTCCCATACTTGCAACTCGTCTCGTCTACTTAGCCTCCGAATTATGATGATCATAGGATAGCTGCTCTAGTTATGTTTGCACACTTATTGTTCTAATCACAGAATGCTAAGCTTTTAAATATTAATTAAAAAATATAAATACTTCTTTCTCTTCAATGAAGTGATGGCAATAATAGACAAATCAGATCACATAGGTGGGACGTAGATTTAGCCCGCACACATGATAGGTTTCTATAAATCAATTGGTAGTTCCCTATCACAGAAGGCCTTTTTGGAACCATATAATAGACTCGTCATCGCATGAAGTCATTTCCTATAGATCATACGATACGTCCAGGCTTCCAGTTGGGTGACACCTTCTTGAGTGAGATGCCGCTTGTGATTTTGTTTTCCCAATGCGGAAATAAATGCCCCAGGGCTTTCAGATACACTGTACCATGAGAATCTGGTTCCTGGGTTCTTAGTCCATCAACCTTGTCTATTAATCTAGCTTCCGTGGATACATGATGTAGTTAATGGGGATACACATGATGCTGATAATGATGCAAATGTAGTAAATTAACGTTTTAGCTGAATTAGAATATGATTCAGATATCCGGATTTAGATGCTAATTGCGCTTTGGTTGTGCAATGGTTCAAGGGCTTTCAGTGCCACTGCATTAAGTTTAAGAGACATAGACCACAACAGTGAGAAAGAACGCAAGATTGCAATTAATGTCAAGTCACTTGATGAAGACTCCCATCTTGTTGTTTAGAAAGATGAGAACTACTCCCACTCTATAACAGCAGAGCTAGCAAAGCTTGACCTTGGCTTTAGGCTTATTACTCAAACTCTGAGTAGCAGATATAGCAGATTAATAATCCTCTGGCTATTAAGGATAACCAGTGCACACAGCTGAGCCACTTCATCAGTATAACATTCAGAAAAAGTAGCGACTCCAATCAGCACTGTTTAGTCACGGATGAGCATTGCTGTATAGCCATTTTAACCATTGTTAACAGCTCTTTGGGCGTACTTTTGGAAAGGGTTGCTTTTGTTTATTCAAGGGAAACTTGCCCCTAGCTTGCTGGCTAAGTCAAGCAGGGCAAGCACTAGTAGCACTAGAATATGAGACGGATCTGCAAGATATCCTTAACCTGGACTGTCATGCCAGGTCTATATTTTATTTTGAAGCAGTAAAGCAACTATTCAGCTTTCATCCTGGTTAAGCAAGTGAAGGAGCTTTGGTCATGTGCTCGCTAACCAGTAGCTTAATGCTCTGAATTCCACTGAACAAGATACTGTCAGTTAGTCTGTGCCCATAATAACACTCGACGTATAATATTGAGAATATCTAAGAATCATAGATTAAGTCATAGTATAAGATCATGTACATAATTTTTGTGGTTGCAAATACTTATACTGTTTAGCTAGCGTCTTGCGTTTGCTTAGCCATGGTCTATTTGTGTTCCCTTTCCGTTTTCAGCTTGTTTTCTAATTTTTACTTTGATGTTCTCTAGAGATAGTAAGATTACACTGGCCCATTGGAACCAGAGATTTCATTAAGCGTCCAAATCTAAGCAAGGAAAATCGGTATATATCCCACATAGATCCACCTGGAGTTGCGGATAATAATAATAGCTGACTTTCTCTGGCCATGCCATTAATGCGAAAATTCGCTAACCAAGTTTCGATCAGTTATAGTCGAGTTGTACTCCTCTGTCTCTGTATTCTACTCCTGTTATATGTCAATATTGAATACAAAACAGGAAATCATCACGTCGGATATGAGAATGATCTGTGGCTGTGCGGTTGGGATATATGACATCATCGCAATCAACACTTAGATCATTACCAAGACAAGATCTGAGACACTCATCCTGATTACCACTAAAAGTAAGATCATCCACGACGGTAGCTGTCACCTACACTAAATAAACAATACTACCTTGCATGATGTACCTTAATCGCCACCAACCCCACCCTACACGACACGCGCGATGATATCAACCATGGAAGTTGCGTCAGCCAGCAGCGCACCACGGTCTCATTGGCAGTTATTCCCCGGCGCACTGCTGTTTGGATATTCCATCCCGGCTGCTGGGTCAGGGCTGACGTATGGTGCTTGTGCATGTTCCTGTTGTATATAAACTAAGCTGATAGACTCTAGCTGACAAGACTACTACTTCCTACTACCTACTACCTACTACCTACTACCTACCACCTCAACAATCCAAAGCAATTTCCATCTGGATCTCAATTACTCCACCACCGCTTCACGCACCAAAATGTCTGAAGATCAGAAACAGAACCGTATGCTCTCGCACCTCTGCCGCTCGCACAAGATACAAGCTGATTGAGACTGACAGCTGGCCTCCTCGGTGGTCTTGGAAATACTCTAGGCAACACCGTTGGCGGTCTCACAAACACCGTCGGTAACACTGTCGGTGGCCTTGGACAAACTGTGGGTGGCGCGACCAAGGGACTCGGAGAGACCGTCGGCGGAGCCACCCAAGGACTCGGAGACACTGTGTCTGGTGCTGGGCAGGGACTGGGACAGACAACAAACAGTGTGGGCAATAGCACGAAGGATACATTGGCAAGCATTGGGGGAGAGAGGAAGAAGTAGTAGAGTTAGGATGTCCGGTGGTTACTTCTGATTTGTATATTTATTCCGATTTACTTCATGAATGATGAGAAAGTTCGCATGTCCCCTATGGCTCAGGTAGCCCCAAGTAAACAGCTTAGGAGTGTAGATCTTAGAGTAGAACTCTTATGGTCCTAAGAAGCTCTAATAAATCCTTAGACTTAAGGGACTGGAGCTACGTAGTTAATTACCTCCTGCGTCTGCCTGAGGGCAGCTCAGTGGACCGGTGGTGAGGCCACCGCTAGAGGCTATCCAGCCCTCTCAATACTACTCTTGAGCTATCTGAGAAGACAGTGATGTTAGTTAGAGGGAGGCCTGTCCAGGCCCGGGAAGTCTCTTGCACGGCTTCCTTGTCAACACCTCCAGTGAGCCCTAATATCTACCAGGGAAATAAGGTACTCTAGAACACATGGCATGGACATTTTCACTCCAGCTAAACACATGAATCTTCATCTCTCTACCCAGCTTGCATCCGCCATCAGACTTTGCAAGACATACATGATCTCACAAGGTATATCCAACTTCAGCGCATCTTTCTTTCTTCCAAACCAAACCAATCTCGCCGATATCACATCTCAATCACCATATCTTCGAGGAGGGAGTCTACACCAATCGTTAGCTAGAAGAACAGAAGATTGCAATGTGTCTCTGAAAATACAGCAGAAGGAGTAGCCGACGACATGGAGGATGCCAGGGGCGTAGAAGACGGCAATACTCGCCGAACAAACCGAGCATGGTGACTTGGTGCATGGACGGAGACTGGGTTGGAGGGGGTCGCCAAGACCGAGCTGGCAGATGCTGACGCCGATGCCATAGCAGAAACCATGATCAGGAGCGCCAAAGTGGTTGTGATGGGAGTTGTGAAGTGCATTGTGAGTACTACCTATAAGAGTCTTAACAGAGGAGGATATTGAAGTGAGATATTACTGGTGGCGAGGGCTAGAGGGAGAGACCGCAGGCCCATTTATATGTGCTGAATGATAACTACAGGCAATATTTTGTTGTTGATTATGATGTAGATGTCTAGCCATATAAGACAGTGTCGTACTTAGGAGACAACTTAGCACGACTTCGTGTTCGGCTACTAATACTATCCTGAGAAATATCCCCCATCGGAGTATTCTTAACAGCAGTATGCTAGGTAATGGTTTTCTGTCTCTTTGCTGTAGGCTCTGTAGCATTCACGGCGCTTGGCTTCTCTGTATTAGCTTGTACCGAGCTTGTTGGATGCTTATGCTTGGTCAGCTTTTTAGACAAAGCGGTTGTAGAATTGGTGTGACTAACTTCTGCAGCTACAAGGAGTTTGAGTATACTCTGATACTTGGCCTGCATGCTGGGATCATTGGCTTGTATGAGTAACTCGGCTACTTCCGCAGGGCTTTGGTCGCGGAATTGTTTGCACCCCGGTCGCGCTGTAGGATCTGCGCCTGCGTCTAGTAGTATTTGGACCACGTCCTCCATAGCGAAGCGGACAGCACAGTGTAAAGGGGTGCCCCAGTCCGCGGAGGTTGTGTTCAGATCAAGACCCTTGGAAAGAAGGAATCTAGTTTTGAACGCTGTATTCAACCTGCTCCAACAAATAGCGGAAAAGAAGAGACTGGATTCCACCTTAGCGCCGTATTCAACGAGCAGGTCGAACAAAGCTCCATTGTCTTTATAGGCCTTGTTAAGGGCACTGGCGAGGGGTTTCGTCTTCTTCGGGCCGCAACGGTTGGGGTCAACACCTCGCTCCAGTAACTCGCGAGCACAGGCAGTATTCAAAAAGCTATGTTCCCTAGAAGTTAGCCTTGCAATTAGGGGGCTAACCCCACTGGCCATCAACGTACCGGAGAAGAGGCTCGCCGAAGGACGTGGTACATTTTCTAGGTTTCAGGCCACGGTCAAAGTAGAGGCGAATTACACGCGGGTCCTGATGGCCTTCCTTCCCGCAAAGAGAGCCTACTGTATCAGGTGTTATGGGCACGCCGGCATCGAAGAGCGCCGCCACGATATCCAGATGTGCCGCTTGGGTGGCGAGACTGAGTCCAGTGTCAAGAGGCTCGGCAGAGAGTCGCCCGCTGGCGAGGGCCTCCCGGACTTTTAGCAGGTCACCATTACTACACGCAACATGAAACGCGTTGATATAAGCTGTATCTGCGCTGTCGGGTGGCATAGTATAAACAAGACAAGAGATTTGAATGGGACTGGGGGTATGTACTGCAGAGAAGTTAAGAGGCTTGGAGCTTCGAGGACAAAATTATGCGTGTAGAGGGCAGGCAGTGGCGAAAGAGGAGAGCAAGACAAAGCCTAATAGGCACAGTTGTAGACTTGTAGTAGCCTTTTTGATATAGAAAGGTTAAGGTACCATTCAGAGCGGGTCCGGTCCCTTGAGCAATTAGCCGAAGGCGCCAAGTACTTACTACGGCGGACTGAATGTACAAAACCAGCCAAAACTTTTTTTTATATTTTTCTATATGCATGCTGGATAGGCCCTAGCTAGGTGAATTGTGTGGTAGCAGCAGCATCAGTGTGGTAAGAGGTAATCATGGTAAAAAAACATTTTAGCCGGTTTTGTACAAATAGTCCGCCGTACTTACGGAGTACATCCATCATTAATAACTTGAATTCTACCTTACTGTCCTAAACCCCCTTTTCCTGAGATGCAGTCAGTGATCTTACATTGTCCCATTTCTCCCAATGTACTACTAGTATAGCGCATACTATGGTACTGCTATGTTGCCCTCGCTACGAGCTTCAGCCGAGAAATCTCTCCAATTCTGCGATAGTACATGGCTAGTTACTCCTAGGCTGATCTAGTCGGATCGCCACTCTCATGGAACAATGCTCGGATGATTGTACGTTTTGGTCCTAGGACTTATAGAACCACAAGAGGATGGTGGCTCAAGAGAAAGCCTCTAGTAGTCTAGATGTGTGTGTGTACCATTGCGAGCCTGGTGACACCCCAACTGGCCTGACTTTCATTTCCACAATTCGGACTGTATCCTCGGCCCTCTGTCAACTGCCAAAGTACAGCACACTTGTCTGAGATTAGCAGTTCGCCGGAGCTAAGGGATGTGCGGCGGGTTCTGAACGCAGATCGTGGCAAGGATACAGTCGTCAAGATATGTACGATTCATGCTTTGCCGATACGTATGTACACATTTTCCAAAAAGCTCGAACCCAGCATACTACGAAACATGCTATATACTACTCAACAGCTAAGGCTGAACCTTTGCCAGATGACTTCGGACAGGCATGTTCTGACCTCTCGAAGGATCCGGAAATCCCTCCACCTTAACACCCTTACGGAAGAGCAGACAATAAGTTGAGCCTCCAAAGTGGAACATACCGAGCTGGTCGCCCTTTTTCAGACGCTGACCCTCCTTGACTGTGATATCGCATGTGGAAACCTCGCACATACCGATCCCCATGAAGCACATAAGGCCGATGGCCGGGTGATCTGCCTCTATGAAGATCAGTGCTCTCGTTGCCGTGGCGCTGTTATACTCCTGGGCGGTGACCTGGCCGGCCAGGTCGATCTGATGGGGCGACGGATCCCCTACTCCCTCAAACAACGGCTCGGAGTAGTATGTCCCTTCGACGACATATGCTTTCACCACCTTGCCGCTGACAGGCGAATGCCAGCGGTGGTAGCTCAGCGCGCTCAAGAACGCTTGGTAGACAGTTCCGCCGACAAACTGCGGCGTGAACTCGTCGTGGTTCAGCATATCGCGGACTGAGTAGGGTTGCTCTTTGATCCAGAACTTGTCTCGCTCTTTGACGTTGTGAGCCACCTTGTAGGGCTGCGCCTCGCATGCGTTTGCGATGACGGTGTCGTCTTCAGGTGACGCGACGGGTCTCACGCCCTCGCGGAAGACACGAGTGAAGAAGTCGTCCCACGATTTAAATCCGTTGTGCTTTGCTGAAGGGTCGCAAACGTACAGATCCTCGAAGGAATGGCTGGTCTCGCCAACGTTACCGACCTCCTCCAGATCAGATCTGGCCGTGGAGCCGAACCAGCCGTTGGAAGTGTCGTTGAGGACCGACGCAGACTCGGGCGACTTGAGGAACTCTCCCCACGCATTGAGGATCTTCTTGACCATCCTGTTGATTTCGGGATCCAGATACGCGGCGTAGCCGCTAGGCGTACCCATGCTCCAGTCCAACACTGCATTGATCGGGAGACCAACGAGACCAACGCGATGAGAAAAGTCGTTCCAGCTAGGCGCAGTGGTGAGAAGGTAGTTCAAAACTTCCAGGAGGTGGTGGTAGTCGCGGATCTGAGCGCAGCCTGTCGGATCGGTCCTGTATGGTCGTTTGCGAGGAATCTCGGCGAACATGGCGGAGATGAGCAAGTAGACGCGGGAATTGGATTCGATCAGTTCTTTGAATTCTTGCAGAACGGGGTGCAATTTATGGGACTTGTTCTTGTCGACGTGAGTGATGACTCCGCCCAGCCATTCCTGGTGGGCAGCGTGGCTTGAGGGCATCCATTTTCCGACGCTATTTTGTCAGTCCACAGCTGCTTAGCCAGTTGATGATGCGAATGCTCACCGATGCAGCTTTGGAGTATCGTGATCGTGCTTGTTGCCCATGGTATCAGTATTTAGCAGTGTCTGTTGTGCTGTAGAAATCGGAAATACAGTCTCTTGGCGGATTGAATGCTGGTTCTAGTAGATGAGGATGTGCTGTGATGTGTTGATGAAGCTGGGTTTATATGGTGACAGGAGGGTGATGTCATACCGATAAAGTCAATTGTGGAGAGAAACAAGAATGGCCAAGCTATGACCAAAAGTAGTACTATTCCGTACTATGTATCTAGTGGAGACTACTGATGAATTTTGATGATGCCAATCACGAAATAAAGTATGGGAACGAGTTGCGCCTCTGCAGGATGACGGATCTTGACATACAATATTCGCTTGCACACCATGTGTTAGGGCTGGCTGCGCAATTGCATATTACTTCATCTAGAAAAAAAGAGGAAGAGACAGAAAAGGGATACTTGAGGCAGATAGTCTAGCAGACACAAGGGCTCAATATTGCGCCAAATGGTCGAGATCTAGTAATAATCCTGGATTGGACCTAGCGAACACCGTTTCAGCGGTCTGAAGATCCAATTGAATATGACTCTCTATCCAAGGACTCTGAATGGGTTGCCAGTCTGTCTACTGGGAGACTATGTATTGCTATTGGTAAGGTTTGCCAGTTGGAATAAAGAAGCTCACATACGATTTACAATCCCCAGGAGCCCTGAGAAATGTAGCATAGAGTATATACACTGGAATGCGAAAATTTCTTGCTCTGAAACATATGCTCTATCGTTATGTTCTATGTATGTTGGTTAATTCTGGAAATATAGCATGCTGCCCATGGCAACATCTGCAGTTTCATCGCCAGCTGTTGTTGCGTGTCCGCATCCTGTCCATCTTTCCTCTCGGCCTTAACCCTTAGCAACTTCAGGATTTGGCACATCGTCTCATCAAATGCACCTTCATCTCATCCCTTTCCCTTCCCACACGAGCCCACCCGAGCCGAATCAAATCCTTGGATATCCTCGGCCCACCTGGCGACGGATCCCTCGACAGATTTAACAAATTATCCAACGGCTGCTGCAAGACCCACTATCTATAACACCGAGATAACCCCCAACTCCTTCAATTAGATTGCCTTCACGGACGAACCGAAGCATCGCCTGCCGCATAAACACCACCCGTCCGTGAATCGCGTACTTGGAAATAGTCCCAGCGAAGATACCGTGTTTCACCTCGCTCTGAGTCATATTTGCAGTTTTGACACTGATATGGATATCGCAAGCAAACGCAACCTACACCCCCGCTAAACGCCGGCCGTTGATGCAAGCAATCATTACCTTTGGCGACTTGTCGATCGCGCGTCGAATGACCGCGTGGGACGGGTAAATTGAGCCTCACCGGGGTTTCGGTCTCGTACTACAGGTGTAAAGTTCTTGTTGAGATCCATGGCTGTGCAGAAGGATCGTCCTGTTCCTGTGATGAGGAGTCGGGAGAAGGACGGGTCAGCTGTGATGACTTCGACGAGCCAAAGGAGGTAAGTACGTTTCTCGTTTTTGGTCGGTTGATGATGGGCTTGACGTTCACGCCGGAGCGGTAGGCTAACAAGCCATTTGGGTCTCTGACCATAGTCCAGGATATCTGTTTCCTGGTGGCTGTTCGGGACGACGACGACCGTCTGGAGGGAACAAGGCCATGCTTTGCAGCCAGCGCGGTCCCAGCACGGCTGGCGTTAGTCTTGGACAGCCGTTGAGAGATCCACACTCCCGTCTCGACGAGTTTCAGCAAGTCAACGCCCGTCTCGATGCCTGCCGATTCAAACATGTACACGAGATCCTCCGTGGCGACGTTCCCTTTGGCTCCTGGCGCATAGGGGCATCCGCCCAGACCACCCACGCTGCTGTCAAACACGCGCACGCCGCAGTTGTACGCTTCCCATACATTGGCGGCGGCCTGGCCGTAGGTATCGTGGAAGTGGCCCGCCATTTTGTCGAGCGGGATGTTGTGGTCGGCTAGGTAGTGGAGCAGACTGCGGACTTTGTCGGGGCTCCCAACCCCGAGTGTGTCGCCTAGGCTGACTTCGTAGCAGCCCATGTCTAGCAACTCTTGAACACAGTGCAGCACGGCCGATGGCTCAGTAGGTCCATCGAATGGGTCTGAAAAAATACAGGAGACATACCTTTCAAGATCAGCAATACGTCTTGGGAAAGGAACAGGCGAAGAAACAGATACCTACCCTCGGACGGTAATCCCACGCTCAATCGCTTTCTTCGCTACGGCCTTTGCTCTCTCTATTCCCTGCTGTACCGTGCAGTTGATATTGGCTTTACTGAACCCCTCCGTCGCACTAATGAACACCGCAACCTCCTTGACTCCATGCTCGATCGCAATATCCAGTCCTTTGACGTTCGGTACAAGGACCGGCAGCCGAAAGCCCGGTTGACCTTGCATTTGTCTGACTGATTCGTTCCCCAGTACATCGCGACAGTCCGCCAACTGTGGGATGGCCTTTGGCGAGACCACGGATGTCAACTCGATAGTCCGCAGGCCAGTCGCGCGTAGCCGCTGGATTAACTCGAGCTTCACTGATGTTGGAACAGGCTCTTTGATATTCTGCAGGCCATCGCGGGGCCCGACCTCG